CTAATGACGACATCTTTTTACCAAAGTGGAATTCTTGGCATGTTGCATTTTTCTTTTGAACTTTATGTTTATTCGCTGTGGTGATTCCTAGCCTCCTAGGTCCTTTTGTTGTGTATCCCGCATTAAAGAGTGTTTGCATTTGCTTCTACTCTTGAGAAGTGATTTATTTTAGATATTATACGAAAAGTGTTTAATAGTAAAGTTGGTAGTGTTAGAAAAAGAAGTGATTTTGAAAAAGCATAAGTTAGAGTGTTTTTTTTTGTGCAATAGAAAAAGTGAATAGTTTGAAGCACCCCTTTCCTTGCTTCTAGTTGTTTGCTTTAAAGTGCTTAGTTTAACTAGAAGCGCCTATTTGACAACACTACTTTTTAGCTATATTTAAGCCATTTTTCTAAAATCGGCCTAGTCGGTCCTATTAATCAGCACCTAGGCGCTAGGCAGCCCTAACTATAGAGGACTAATTGGCCTAGTCAGCTAAAACATCGGCCTAGTCGGCACCCCTCAACTGCCCGACTAGCGCCTAGCGAATTTTAGAACAGTGATTAAAGCTATAAGCTGAAAAACAGTTTTCACCTTTTTTAGCAAAGGAAAATCCTCCTTTAGGGTCTCAAAACTGGGTTCTAGCCTAGCACAGTATATAAGCGGGCGGTAAACATAGTGTTTTGTGGATGGCCCTCCTAGGGTAAACCATTTGGGGCCACTTTTCCCCAAATTGGGCCTCACTCTTTTGGTTGAGTGAGTCCCGATTTAACTTGATATTAGAGTATTCTGTGGATGGCCCCCCTAGATAATCCATTTGGGGTCACTTTTCTCATTTCTCACCCATTGGGTTCTCATGACCAGCGTGGCCCGTGGAGCGCTTGTTGAGTATCTCACAAAGGTTTTTGGCCTGGCTTTAGTTTAGCAGATAAGTACGAGGTTAACCCAAAACCATGACGGCCTTTTTTGAGGTGAGTTAGACAAAATATAACTTGATATGCAAGTCCACTTACTGTTTTTGTGTGGGACACCAACACTCTGTGTGTTGGATTAGGCTTTTTTAGCCCATTTATCCACATTTTTAGTTGTCCAGCCCAACATAGGGTCAGGAGGGTATGACGAGTATCCAACATGGTTTGTCTATAGGAATCCCATATCCCTCGTGACGATCTTTTAGGGATGAGTTGGGCTAATCTAACTTTCTCATATATGATTGTTAATGTAGTTGAGTGTCAGTAGATTGAAGCCATGGATCTTAATAAATGCCAACTTATTATGTCTTTTTCATCATTTCTATTCTTAGCATATGAATGAGCAGAAGATATTGAATGGTGTTAGCCTTGAGAAAGATGTTGATGGATTCCACCCACTGAACATTGGGCGTCTCGCCATGCGGGATAGGGAACCATTGTTTGTTCCGTGCACTCCAAAGGGATGCATTGAGCTGCTGCATAGGTATGGCATTGAGATCAAAGGGAAAAGAGCTGTTGTCATTGGCAGGAGTAACATTGTTGGAATGCCTGCTGCTCTTCTTCTGCAAGTAAAAATTAATATATGATCCCCATCAGTCAATCTTTTCATTCAGGTTATGGTTGAAGCTCAAGGGAAAACATTAGGGATAGGAGTGGGCACGGTTGATTAACCGCATTTCGGTTAACCAATTTTCGGTTAACCGATTTCCGGTTAACCGTGATTTCGGTTAGTATGTTTATAATACCATTAACCATACCATAGCATCGGTTAACCGGATAACGTTTAATGGTTAACCAAAAAACCATTTAAAAGAATAAACATTTGGAGTTCTTCTCTCCATCTTTGATGTAGGCGCTACTGACTTACTGTATGCCTATAGCAACATGACTTGCAGGCTGCTGAGTGCCTGAGTTGCATGCCATATTATTTTGCTGAGATGGTTGAAGCACGTTGGGTTTATTTACGGGGAAATTGGGTTTAGTGGCAAACATATAAAATTTAATAGGTTATTTTACATTTGTGTTATTCTATTTAGGATATAATGCACTCCATTAGTCTGATCATACAGTACAGTATGCATCCATCGATTATTTTCATTCTAACTTCTAAATCAATAATTCTTAATTTTGAAAGTAATATTTTGATTTGGATTATCGGTAACCGGCGGTAGTTTTTTTCATAACCGTAACCGTACCATGTACCGTTTTTTCTTTCGGTTGGTTAACCGCACCGTAAGTTTTTTAAAATACGGTACGGTTAACCGAAAAAACACCAGTTTTTCGGTTTTTTGGTACTGTTAAACGGTTACAGTTTTTCATGCGCACCCCTAATTAGGGATACAAATAAACATGAAATTTTGAAGGAAAGAAAATGTATGTTTAAAGAAAACAAAATTCATTTCATTCTCTTTTTCATTTACCAAGGTAAAAACTAAATATTAGAAATGAAATTTTCATGGCACCTCTTTTTCGGGATCAAATATACCTTAAAGGTCTGTTTGTGATTTAGATATTGTATGTTTTTGGAAGCAAAGCATAAGGAATTAAGGATTGTGTTTTTATTTATTTTTTAGTTAAGCGAATTTTATCTGATTAGGTAATAAATTAATAACTATTTGAAAATGTTGTCACATTATAGCACTATTTTCTTAAAATGAAAAGCAACCCTTATATTCCCTTCTGTCCAAAATGGTTGAAAATGTAGTGTTCCCAAACATATTGTTTTATTATTCCTCAATTCTAGTGGTTGAATACGTTTTTATTTTTTTTCCTCCCCCTGTAGAGAGAAGATGCCACTGTGAGTATTGTGCATTCTAGGACAAAGGACCCAGAGGAAATTACAAAACAAGCAGATATCATAATATCAGCCGTAGGGCAACCAAACATGATCAGGGGTAGCTGGATCAAGCCCGGTGCAGTTATCATCGATGTTGGTATCAATGCAGTCGAGGTATGGAAGGTCTTGATTTTAAAAACAAAAAAATAGTCATTTTGTGAGGATTATTTGAATTCATTTAATTACCAGACCGTTTGGTAAAAGTTATTTGTCTTAAATAGGCTGAATATGCTGGTTTCTCTGAAATGAGAGTGTAGAATCCACTTATGTTAAATAAGTAAATACCAATGAGCTACTTGGGTTCTATTTGGTGGCCAAAAAAGGCTTACTCTGCTTAACTCTAGAATACGCAGTAGCTTTTGACTTCACTCGTTTGGGATGAAATGAACGTCAACCAACCTTTTTTCTTTCTGAAAGTTCAGTGGATTCAACCAACCATTTCAGCTAAATAACCCTTCCCAAACGGGTTCTTCATTGGCGAAATGAACCTACCATACTGAGAGGGCCTACATAATCAAATTGTGTTGCTGGCTAATCTGACAGGATACGACAAGCCCCCGAGGGTATCGGCTAGTAGGGGACGTTTGTTTTGAGGAAGCTAGAAGGACCGCTTCGGCAATAACTCCAGTTCCAGGAGGAGTTGGACCCATGACTATAGCAATGCTTCTCTCTAACACGCTCACATCAGCCAAACGGATCCATAACTTTTTCATTTGAGCCATTGCAATAGTAGTTGTAGTTCTAACCGCAAGTCAAGATGGATTACACTTGCTTGATTTTTGGCGTTGGTACGAAGCTCTATGAATAGAGAAGTTTTGTTTTAATGTGTAATTTATATATATATATATATATATATATATATATATATATATATATATATATATATATATATACATGCAGAAAAATGTTTATGGAGTTGTTGGACTTTGCTCAGTTTAATAAATAATCAGCATTTTGAAGAATTTAATAGCATTTCCAATTTTACTATTTACTCGAGTTAAACTGGTATGCTGAAGCTTATTACGTCAAACCCTATCAACAAACAGTAAACAATTAGTATACAAATCCGACACATTGTTCTTTGTGATTCAATAATCGCATTAAAGAGTTTGTGTTATGATTAATTATGCATAACAAATTTAATTGTTGAATGAAGTAAGTGTTTAGTATATTTTTTATCAACTCCATTCTATTGATAAGTTTGTGTTAGCTCCGTTTTTTAATAGTTGTAACATTGTGTTTTTGCACTATTCATATATCTTATTTTGGTCATGATTTTATACTAATATATGTAATCAAATTATTATGTATAAAATGTTATTGAATTTCTATTAATGTGAATTTCCAAAATTTTAATTTTTTCTAGAAATAATTGGGTGTATGTACAAGTTTAAATAGGTGTAGTGAATTAATGTCATGTATTTATATAAATAAAACATATAGCCTCTTATATTAAAATGAAAGGAAGAAAATCTCCTAAAAATGTGATACGCATTTAATGTTCTTAACAAAATTCTCTCGTGCTTATTAGTTTATCCAGTCAAATATGCTATGTATTTAAATTATCAAAAGATAGGCTATTAATTGAACTTCTCTTGTTTATAAATGCTATATAACTATTTAGCCCTTTTAGAAATAACATTTACTAATATGTAATTAAATATAATTATAGTCAAATACATAATTTGTGTGTTGATAAACGTGAAAGTCAAACTATTGCAAATAATAAAGAACAGGGGATAGTATGAAATAATAAAAGTAAGAAAATTAATAAATTCCAATGACATAGAGTGAGTACAAATTAGGTATCATGATTCTTGACAAATCTACGTACACATTTAGTCATCACACCAAGTCACTAACACATGATATATTGATATGTAAACATGTTAAATGTTTGAGTTTGTTATTTCAGAATTCAGAGTGATATGTATTTGATTAATTATAACAAGATTTGATACATTTTTTATATCAAGCAATGCACGTAATTTGTATACTCCGTAGATCACAAATCACCAATAAACTGGCCAAACATTAGCGATTCAGTTTGCAGTTATGTTTTACCACATAATCACCTTTTAAAGGGACCAAAATGAATCAAAGCAAGTCAGCATTTTTAACCCAACCCAACTGGAACTCTGGAAGTGAAAAAAATTACCGTTTGGCCAACAATGAAAATACTTGCTTTTGTTCCGACATCTTTTTTGTTGCGAGTAATCAAGTATAACTGTCCCTTAAGTTGGTCTCACAATATCAAATTATCTCAAAAGTTACGATAATACAAGTTCAAAGATAGGTGTATATATAACTCAAGTAAACAGACATTATTGTATACCATTTATTAATAAAATTATACAACAAATAAAATGGGCCAAGGGGAATAACCGTTAGAGCCCCCACTACTTGCAGCATGAGTTGAGTTGCACATCTAATGTAGTAGATTTTGTTTGCATAGTACAGTAATTCCAGTTTTCAACCAGCAGAACGAGTAAAAAATGAATTTACGGCAGGAGTTTAATTCGCGCTGCAAATTCATCTACCCCAGCTCTACTCTGTTTCATTGTGCTTCGTAGGATAGAAACCTGTTCATGGTCGAGCGGTCAATTGGTTATTAAAGTAATAAAACAGAGGAATCATATATTATGTGTTTGACCAATATCTAATTGCGACTATTATCCAGAGAAAGAGCAAGAAATAGACAATTGTTTCTCAGTCTTATGGTGTGGTAAAAAACTCTCTCCGCCCATTAATGTAGGCACAAACCTTTGCTTTTTTTTTTGGGGGGGGGGGGGGGGGAAGTTTCCCATTAACATGGGCACAAATCTTGAAGTCAGATCCCAAATAGTTTTTATGTACAAGCCAGTGCCAAGCCAATCTTAAAGTTTTTACAACTTTACAAGGGTCGACAAGCACTTGTTTTTGTCTGGTTACAAATAGTTTCGTAAAACATTCAGTTTTAATTTAAAAAAATACTACGTATTATTTAAAAATGGTGGTTAAAATTGAGAATGCCTTCACACACACAAAAACAAATTGTGGGAGGGAGTAATAATTATCGAAAAGTATGGATATATATAGTACGTGTACACTAAGATTGTAAGGAAAGCACTCATATGAATCATATGACGATACCTTGGGATTTTCCATTGAGCTTCCGAAATACCCAATTCCAAATGACAAAGTAGAAAATACAGCTGCGATCTCAACAGCTTCCACAAACGGCGAGTTTCCATTATCAACCTTAAGTCCAACCAGAAGGCATGAAAACAGTTATCTTTTGTGTAGAGAAAGGGAGATTAAGGTTCTGTATGGTAGCCTTATCTAGCTGATGTATCCCATAACTAGAATAAGGGAGTGTTTGCGATTGCTTTTACTTTTAAAAAGTGATTTTTTTAAAGTGATTTCGGGAAAAGTGATTAATAGTAAAAGCTGGTAGTGTTTGGGAAAAAAGTGATTACGAAAAAGTAAAAGTTGGTAATGTTTGATAGAATAAGTATTTTTTGTGTAATAGAAAAAGTGAAAAACAGTTAAAAGCACCTCTCAATCTGCTTTCAGCTTTTAGCTTTTAAATGATTAATTTAAGCAGAAGCTGTCATTTGAAAACACTCATTTCAGTTTTTTTAAGTCAAAAGCTGAAAAGCACTCAAATTAATCTTTAGCAAACACTCCTTAAGTATCTTTTGACTAGCTTATTTTTGGCTGAAATGGATGAAACACCATGTGCTTTTTTTAGATTGTCTAGAAAATTTAGTATAGTACGAATTTCAACAAAATAGCTCTTAGCAAACGCCCAAGGGTCAGAAATTGCCTCTTACCCTTTGGGGAGCCTCAGCTTGAACTAGTAAAACTCCAGCACTTCTTTCAGCGCAATATTTACTGCTGTTTTCTTGATTGAAAGAGCGAATAACCTTTGAGCAGGCAGAAGCTGGTCCAGCTTCAGATCTGCCAATAAAGGAGAATCATTTCATCATTCCAGATTTAATGCAAAGATAGATGTAATTGATATTTTTGCTTGTTGGCGGGAAATATTACAGGGTTCTATGTGACTCCACTATAAAGTCATATTTGGCATATGTGACATAACCACAAACTTTCTTTTCAATGTATGCATGAAAACCTTATTATAAAAATGAATCTATTACGGTGTCATAAGGCTCCAATAAGTTTTTGAGAAAAATAGGCCGGACTTTTGGAAGGGAAGAGAATTTGAGGGCACATAGTTTTTGTATAAACAAAACTAATCAACTTTAAATATTTTTTTCAAGCTCATTTTATTTATATATTTGTCTTAGTAAAGATTTAGAAATCTAAATATATGTGAAAAGTTTACAAGTGTTAACCAAATATGATTTATATTTTTATTTTCATATGCAAAACATTTTCCTTCTCATTTCCCCCTTTCTCTACCACTCTACAAGTTCCAAACCTAGCCTCACAGCATTCATAAGATCATCTTTAAGAGGCAAAAGATTACATAGATGAGGATATACAACATTCCCTAGCAGCAAATCCTTTCATTAGGTACTCTCCAGCACCACTAACACAACAACCGACTATAAAGGGTGCTCCAAATGGTCCCTTTGAGGATGCCCAACAACCAGAACCGTATGTTGCTGCTAAACCAACTCTCCCACTGACCTGTTGTCGAGTTAAAGTCAAAACATCAGTAGGCCAAACAAATAAATTAAAACTTGAAAGCACTTGCATCTCTTTCTAGCCAGGCAGAAAGTCTAAAAGAAACAAAGTACAGTATTACTAAGTACATATTTACATTGACCAAATTTAAACAAAGCCATTCATGAGAGCAGAGTCAAAAGTTATATGGAAATACTTGGGGTGTGTTTGAACCCCGAGCAATGCTAGGGAAAGAAAAGAATGTGAAGGAATATGAAATATGAATACCTTTTTCCAACAATTTTTAACATGCATTTAGATTTCTTATTCTTTATGTAATAGATTATAGACATGAATAAAATGAGTATCAACAAACAACTAAAATAAAATATCTATCATTATTTTCCCCTAATTTTTCTTTCATTTTAGATATAATCTGTGTTGTACTTCATTCCCCCTATAGTAGTTCGAATTCCAAACAGACCCTTACAGTCAAGAGATTAGGAGGTAGTGAGGTACAACTACTAAGAACTTAATCTGATGAGAAGTACACTGGACATAATTTTTATTTCAGACATAATAACATGTGTGACACGGAAAATTAAAAATAAATATTCAAAAGAGAATGGATCATCAATTAAATGCAATAGAAAAATGAGAAGAATAGGGACAGACAGATTAGAACAAGCTAACCAAGAATCGTCACCTTTAGAGCAATTCCGCCACTTGAGGCCCCACATGCAATGTGCCCTTCTGAGTCCACACAAATTACTCCAACGGTGTCACTAATCCAGTTCTCATCCAGAGCATTTTCCAAGGGAGATTGGTCACCACTTCTGCTTCCATTCACTTCATCAAGCAATTGAGCCTCTACTTATGCAGCAAAAAAAACGCACAGACATATTCAAATCCATCCATCCATGCATCATTGACATGGAATATTACATAGCCAGCTTTATACCTGAACCTGAATCAAATCTCATAGGGTTGGAAGTGATCAGTGTGGAAGAAACATCATTGCTTGGAATGCCAGCTCTAGCATCATCAAGCATTCCTCTGTATTTTTTCCACAGGTTTCTGGTCCTCTCAATCACAAGCCACTATTAATATATAACAAATATAATTATTCTCTCCGTTTCAAAATATATGTCGTTTAAAGTTCCTTAACACAAAGTAAGAACCTCAACTATGTTAAACTATGTCTAACTCACCCCAAATTAATCTTCAAGAAGTGAAGTTTACCTCACATCCATTGAACTCATACCTAGTATACAACCAATATAGGATGTGCATATAGTGACCACTACCAAAGAGTATTGAAAGTAAAGACACTTTTCTTCAATGAAAGTAAAAGGATTAATTCCACCCGGTTACAAAAAGGACAGATTTTCTGAAACAAAATTTACTCAGAGATTCCCTTTGCTAATGGGAAAATATTTTCCTAGAATATATTTCCTGATTTCCTATGTTTGGCACATGATAATACTTTCCAAGAAAACATTTTCTGGATTATAGTGCACACTTTCTTTCCGAAAAACAATTTCAGTGTTTAGCAACATAAAATACCCCCCCCCCCCTCTGATCCTTTGATACTTTGTGGAAAATGTTTTCATGTCTTGAAAATGGTAAGTAACTTTCCTGAAACAATTTTGTGGGTCAAACATTATATTTTAAATAGAGCAACTATTTTCCACGCAAAACAGATTCCAAAACAAATTATTTTCATCGAAATAAACAGAGCCTAAAGTAACAAATATTTGGAAGAGAGGAAGTCACATGGTTCGTGAGCCTATGTTTGGAAACAACCAAGTTACCATGTAAGTAGCATACCTGGGAAACATGCATAAAGTCATATGGATATGAATGCAAAAAGGAATAAAACCTTTTCGGCTTCTTTTATTGTTCCTGGTAGAACAACACCTTTAGATTTTGCCCATGCACGTGCACCTTCACCAACCAAAAACCTACAGAAGTGTTGGTAAGCTCCTTCCGAACACACCCACACACAATATGCTATCTTTATCTAAGTCATCCTATTTGAATTCTAAGAGGTGAGATTTACTTCACATTTATGCATGACTCGTTAAACAACCCATTTGAGATACTCAAAACACCCTCCAACCCAAGCCAAGGAGGAGAAGTTAAGGGTGACCAAATGTGCCAAATTGAATCCCAATTCTCAAACCATAAAGTGGAAACACTCTACATGTAACCATCAAACCGGATTATTATAACACGCTACATAGGATCTAATTTACCTCAAAAGAAATCTCAAGAGGTGAGGTTTACATCATACTTATATATTAGACTCAAATCCAATAAAGAACTGATGGAATATTCAACCCAACAAAACAAGAACTAGATTCGTTTTAAGAAGAATACAACTACGGTTCATAGAAAGAGTAAACCATACATGGGGGATATACGACCCAGCAGTGCTGAACCGGAAAGCTGGTCCTTGGCTAATAATGCAGCAATCTGGATGGCATTTCTAACACCTGCCAATAATTAACTTCACAAAAGAGGTGTAATGATTATTACAAGTAAAAGAAAATGCTCTGAACTCTGAAGGCCATAACATCCAACATAATTGCTTTTTAAATAAAAAATGGTCAATTAAAGTCGAATATTAGTGTACCTGGCACTGCTCCTACAGCACCGAATGCTCCAGAATCACCATCCATTATACTTGCGTCACATTCCACATTACCCTCCTCAGTCAAATTTGAACCTCGCCCAGCATTTGTATTTGGATCATCCTGAAAGAGCAGTTCATGGTAAACCACGAAAAAAATCCTTTACAGCATAACGCCCATTTATTTGGTTACACATACACAGTATACCATTATCTTTCAATTATCTTTTGAAAGTAAAGTCTTTCATACAACATCGTCAAATGCTATGAGTGTAACTTTTCATTCAAGTTCTGTTAATGTGTACTGCTAAGTGGCAAGGAAGTGTGAAATGAAAAATGTAGAAACATCACTTTTTAAATGAAAAAAAAGTCGTTATAAAGGCTCCATTAGAGTTTCTTAAGGCGCCGTTTGGAAACTGTCGAAAAACCATCGTAATACTATGGGAAAGAAATACGAAGGACTATAGAAAAGATTGAAACAAAAGAAAGTGTGATGGGGGGGATAAAACATTGATTGAAACTCAGTAAACTTATTTCTATATTGTTCAATCTCACTTCACTTATCTATTTTTATCACCCGTGCATAGAGATTAAAAAATCCAAACATATGTAAGAAAATTAAAAACATTAATACTAGTAGTATTTAGTTCTAGTTTTCATTTTCTTAGATCCACGCATAGCCAGAAGGTTTCCTAAAAGTCTCAGAAACACAGAAATGCCACCCATAGGAGTTTCCAGACATCATAGTTCATAGGTGTATTATTGATATAGTAGTAGCTTCAACTAACACTGCTAAGAGTTCAAATTACTTTACTGAATCAAATTATTTTAAATGCTGCCCTTTCTACAAAAAATTATATACGAGTAGTTTAGTTATCAAAGAAAAATTTGCTTTCAGATAAAAAAATATATCTATACAATAGAGTATAGACTATAGTTTCCAATCAAAGATCACGAAAAAGATCATTTAATATGGATTACGGAAACAAATATCGGATATCAGATGAACCAACAACTCATAATTACCTCCAACACTTGCACAGCTGCCGTAACAGCATCTATACATCCACCGGGACCCTGAGGGGGGAGGGGGGGGGGCGTTAGTGGTGTTGAGTAGATAAAACGCACAGTAAAAAAGACAACTTTTAATCTATACTGCGAAGACGAAGACCTTTCCGAGAATGGAAGCGGCAGCGAGGCATGCACGTTTCATAGCCAATCTGAGGGCTTTCTCATTAGACGGAGCGTGGAATCCAGCGCCTACGTGAACAGCGACAAAAAATGTAGGCTTCTTCTCGGCCTCAACAGCCATAGTAGTGTTTTTTGACCTTTTCAGCTCCGGTGACTCTTGGATGGTTTGCCCGGAGGCCGGAGTGTATTCTGGGCCGAGCACGGGGAGCACGAGGGGTCAGGAAAAATCGTATTAGGGCCATGTTTGGTAACTGGGGCGTTTCAATAAAGAAAAATAGCTGATTTGAATAAAATTGGTGTTTTTAATTGATCAAAAAACTTTGATAGGGGAGTGTTGGGCCCCATAGTGCCAAAGCGGGGATTACGTCAAGGTGATCCTCTTTCACCTTATTTGTTCCTTTAGGTAGTTGAAGGTCTGAGTTCTTTACTCAAAACTAAGGAAGTAAAGGGTAACGTCAGTGGAATTGGAGTCGCTAGAAGGGCTCCCAAAGTGACCCATCTTTTGTTGGGTGACGATAGTTTCTTGTTCTTTAGAGCCTCTGTTAAAGAGAGTGAAAAGATTCGTGGTACTCTCCAGCTTTACGAATCAATGTCAGGTCAGACCATAAATTTAAATAAGTCAAGTATCTCTTTTAGTGCAAATGTTCCAGAACATGTCCAAGTTACAATGAGCAACTCTATGGGGGTTGCACCGGATTGTGTGTCGGAGAAGTATCTTGGTCTTCCATCTTTAGTGGGACGTCGTAAAACAGAAATATTAGTTTATCTGAAGGAGAAAATTATAAAAAGACTTCAAAGTTGGAACCATCGGTACCTTTCACGAGCAGGAAGAGAGATTCTCTTGAAGTTTGTTATCCAATCCATGCCAACGTTTGAAATGAATGTATTTCTCCTACCAAATGATCTTTGTGATGAAGTTGAAAAATTAATGAATAGTTATTGGTGGAGAGGGGTGGACATGACAAAACGAGGCATTCGATGGAAATCTTGGCAAGGAATGTGTGCACCAAAACAGAAAGGGGGGTTAGGATTTTGCAAGCTTCGAGAGTTTAATGTGGCAATGCTTGGAAAACAAGCATGAAGACTGATTTGTGATCCGAACTCCTTGGTCGGAAGAGTTTTGAAGGCTCGTTATTTTCCCAAAACAGAATTTTGAGAAACAAAATTAGGAGCAAATCCCTCATATGTGTGGCGTAGTATATTGGAGGCGCGGGAGGTGATCTCGAGAGGTGTTATTAGATGGAGAGTTGGTGATGGTAGGGATGTCATGGTTTGGGGTCATGCGTGGTTACCTGGATCGGGAGATGGTAGAGTGGCATCTAGTCATCCTCCGGGAGTGAAGGATATGAACGTTGCTGCGATTTTGACAAAGACGGTCAAAATTGGAATGAAAGCAGAATTCGGAAGCTCTTTAATGAGGTTGATTGTAAAGCTATTCTAAGCATTCCCAGAAGCAGGGTCGTAGATGAGGACGTGCAAGAAATGCTACCGCACAAGGCCTCTCGATTCAGAAGGCCCAAAATTTAAAATATAGTCTACATAATATACAAAATCCCTTTTTATTTGATTATAGATTCCTACTTTAGTATTTTGTTTTTAAATACAAACATTAATTACTAATATTTATATGTAATTAAAATGCAGTTGTTAATTATAAACATGCAATTTCTTTATTACATAAGGCCTGGATAAGGCCTAGTTATAGTAGTTAGCACAAACTCCTCGTACAGTTTGGACGAGCTTGGTTTCAAGGGACAAAGAGAGTAGTTTTTTCAGTAATATCCTATTCTATGTTTTTTTAGTTCAGTAGTTGTTCAGGTTCGAAATATGATTATATCTCAATGTCAATTTGATTGTAGTCTTTTTTGGGTTATTTTCAAAGGATGTTTTTATATTATATTTATTTAATATAAGACCTATTTTACGTGATTTGCACCGGGTCTCCTCATCTATTGAGCCGGCCCTGCCCAGAAGCATGAGGTCTGTTAAGGATGGCTTGTGGTGGGTAGGGGAGGTGAGAGGAAATTTCTCTGTGCGTAGTTGTTATTGAATGCTTGTGGGGGGGGGGGGATCAATACTACGGAATGGACTGACTGGACTTGCATGTGGAATTATAATATACCTCTAAAGGTTAAAAAAAATTCTGGCAATTTATGTTGGGTCTCATTCCTACATGTGATAAGCTACGAAGAAGAGGGGTCCTGGTAGAAGAAGAGTGTAAGGTGTGTGGTCTGGCTTTGGAGACAAATTTAGGGGCTGTTTACTTTTTATTTCATTAAGTCCTGTCTGGATTAAGATGTATGTCTAGATTAAGATGTCTATATGGATTAAGTGACATTGTGATAACAGACTGTTTACTTTGTGTGCTGAATGAGAAGTCTGAATAATGTCAAATAACCAATTTACCCTTTTGTAAAGAACAAGTGAAGAACGTTAATCGTCGATTCACTTTTCTTATTTTGTAACATAATTTGGAATAATTAACGAAAAATTATTATACTATGAAGAAATGCAAAGATGGGCACCCAAATATGCAGAAAATGCTAAAATAATCCCAAATATAACCTGCCGAAATATTCAGGAACAAAGTGTTGTTTTTTGCCGAAAACATTTTCCGAAGATGCAAAAATAGTGCCCAATTGTGCAGAATTACCTAGAATAAATTCATGCCTAGACAAAGAAATTTATATTCGAAGTCATACAAATCATGAGATAAATTCCTGAACTCATACCAAATGAAAATGTAAAAATATGAAATCATGAGATTATACTTTGATGATGATGATGATGTGATAGAGGAGATGAAGATAGTTGCTCTAGTGTATATAAATGGTTTGTCCGTTGTCTGAACTTCGAAGTAGATGAGGAGAGCCACCTATGTGAGAAAGAAACGACGTCAATGGGGTTAAAAAGGAGAAATATGGTCTGTTCCATAGTCTGAATCGGAAGGAGTCATGTTTTTGCGCTGAACCAATAAGTCCGTTTTGGACTGAGCGAAATGGGGTTAATAAGTGATGTTTCTCATTAAGTCCTAAATAAACACAACTTAATGATTGAATGATTATGTCATCCATCTCATTAAGTCCATCAAGTCCTAAATAAAGAGGCACTTACATGTGTTCAAAGAGTGTAGTCTTGCTAAAGATGTATGGGGGATTCTGGGAGATAAATATACAAGAGTTGCTGCAACTGTAAATGAGTGGGTGCGGAGTGTTTTTTTCAGTGCAGGTCAGCGAGGATTGCTGCATTTTTCTCATGTCATTATGGAGCATTTGGAAAAACAGGAATAATGTAGTGTGGCGGAATGAAAAAAAGAATAGCATAGTTGTGGTGGAGTGTGGGGCAGCCATGCTCAAAGGGTGGCGAGATGCCCAACTGCCAGACAACAAATTACACAATAATAATGCTTCGAGAATGTTTACACGATGGGAAAAACCACTGGAGGGTTGGCTCAAGATAAATACAAACGCTGCTATTGACAAAAATGGCGGTGGATGTGGTTTAGCTATGGTAGCAAGAGATGATAGAGGGGGTTTCGTGGAAGCTAGGAGGGATAGGCACCTGATTGCCCGGACACCAAGAGAAGCTGAAGCGGAAGCAGTAAGGGAGGCCATGAACTGGGCAACAAGAGAGGGTTGGAAAAAGGTAATGATTGAAACGGATGCACAAGCAGTGTGCTTGGGGGTGCTATCAGATCCAGGTGAGTCCTACTTCGACTTGCTTATTGATGATATTAGACAGATGATTGCTCCGAAAATAATTTTTTTTGTCAAACATGTGAAACGATCTGCGAACCGTGTGGCACATATCCTTACAAAGGCCGCCGTTTCTTTGCCAGATTGTAGAGATTTGTTTTACTTTCCTCCTGATTGTATTGTGAGTCAATTGTCAAACGATATGTTAGGTTAATCTGAGTTGGTTTTGGTTGCCAATTTTTTTTTATCAAAAGACAAAAAAAAAAGGAATCCTTTTATTTTTTAACTATATCCTCAACATAAAAAGAGCAGTCTCTCCCTCTCTAGGGCTTCGATATCTCCGCCGCCGTCGATTGATGGAGAGCGGTCACAACGGGATCTATAGGGTTGAGCGAAGGAGTGCAACGTGAGACGGAGGTTTGTGGCCTTTAACGACGACCTTGATTCGTTCACCAAGAAAGGGATAGGGGTGTTTCGAGTGTGGCGACGAGGCTCAATCGTTCTAGCAGGGAGGAGTTTTAATGGAAAACATTGTCAATCAATATAAGAACATGACAATCGGTGGGGGTCTTGAGGAACTGAACTTTGATGAAGGCGAGTTTGGCGAACCGGCAGTGCGGGCGAGTTTTCCGGTCGTTGGCGCATTTCTGACTGATAGAAAGATCAGGTTCCAGATCTTCAAAGAACTTATGACTTCTTTGTGGAGACCAGGGGTGTGTCGATCAAAGAAATTGACTATAAAAGTTATCTTTTTACTTTCTGCCATGTTGTGGATATGCGATGTGTACTAGAGAGTGGTCAGTGGTTGTTTGAAAGAAACCTGTTGATCCTCAAGGAGGTCAAACCAGGGGACATTCAGCTTAAAATTAGGGTATGTTTGGCACGACTAGCTGAAAGAATACTTTTGTGAGCTTTTTAGTAACTGTTAGGCGTTAGATTTTAGTGACTGAAAAGATCTTAAAAAGAAAAGGTGATAGCTGTTTGGTAAAAAGTCGACTGTTTGATTTAGTTCTGTTTGGTATACAAGTTGTTAGGACAAATTAATACTAAAAGTCACGGTCTTTTCTCAGATGCTACTCCCCGTAGCATCTCAGAAAAGATCTTTTATTTTTTGAGAAGCTCTTAAAATTTGTCATGTCAAACATACAACTACAAGCTTTTAGAATTTTTTTAAACAATACAAAAGGTAGAAGGCAAAGACTTATGTATGCCAAACATGCACTTAGTCTCAACGAGGCTGAATTCTGGGTGCAAGTTCATAATTTTGCTTATTGTTTGATGAATTTAGGCACTGCTAAAGGGTTGGTAATTTTATTGATAATTAAATTTATTAGCTATGATGAAAATTAATTTGATGAAAAGTGGGAAGCATATATGTGTGTTTGGGTCTGCATGGATGTCGGAAAACCTCCGGAAAAAAAGAACAACTCTCAAGAAATGAGGAATTGGTCATTGGGTAGATTTTAAATATGAAAAACTACTCAACTATTGATTTATTTGTGGAGTTAATTGGTCATTCTGATAAGTTTTGTCCACTGACATATGAGGATAATCTAGTACTGG